AATTATTTGTGTTTTTCTGAGTCATTTTTTTGACTTTGACTTACTTTTTGACTTACTTTTTTCGGAGTAATTTATTTTTATGGTTGGTTTTTCAGAGTAATTTTTTTTCTGTTATTTAGAGTAATTATTTGTGTTTTTCTGAGTAATTATTTGTGTTTTTCGGAGTAATTTTTTTGTCTGTTTTTCCGAGTAATTTTTTTTTATGGTTGGTTTTTCAGAGTAATTTTTTTTTCTGTTTTTCTGTTTTTCAAAGGAGTAGATTAATTTGTGTTTTTTCTTTTGAATATTTATTTATTTGTCTGTTTTTTCAGAGTAATTTTGTTTCCTGGTTTATTTAGAGATAAATTAAATTTGTGTTTTCAGAGTAAATTTATTTTTTAGGCCGTTGGCGTTTATTTCCAAGCAGTCTTTTTTTTTTTCTGTTTTTTCAAAGCAGTAAAATTTATTTTTTAGGGTTGGTTTTCAGAGTCATTCTTTTTTTCTGTTCTTTTCAGATAATTATTTGCGTTGTTTTTCTGAATTTTTTTTTTGTTTCTAGTTTTTTCCGAGTAATTATGTGTGATTCTTTTCTCGAGTAATTTATTTTGTTTTCTTTTTTCAGGGAGTAATTTATTTTTTTATGGTTGGTTTTTCAAAGAGCTTAATTTTTTTTCTGTTTATTTAGAGTCATATATTTGGTTCTTTTTCGGAGTTGAATTTTTTTTTTGTCTTGTTTTTTCTGAGTAATTTAATTTTTGATGGTTGGGTTTTTTCAGAGTAATTTTTTGTTTCCCGTTTTTTCAGAGTAATTATTTTTGTGTTTTTCTGTTAATATTTATTTTTGTCTGTTTTTTCAAGAGTCAATGTATTTTATGCGTTGGTTTTCTTTCAAGAGTAATTTTCTTTTTTTTCTGTTTTTTGGAGTAATTTTTTGGCTGTTTTTCGGATAATTTTTTTTTTTTTGTTTTTGCTTGAGTTTAGCAGAAACATTTTGAAACAATAGAACACATTATTTCCTTTATTGAAGAGCTCGATTTTAATTGGAACCAAGTAAACCGCGCTTGTTTAAGTTTTCATTTGAAGTTTTTACTTTGGGATCTCGGTTTAAAGGAACCACTGGAAGATCAGGTCCCTGTTCTTAAGTTCATATTAGATGGTTATTAGGCGATTAGCTTTTTGTCGACTGCCACGCAGTACACCCTGCAGATCTTTGGAGTCACTGTGCAGGGTTTGGCAGCGTTCTCGCAGGAGTTCGAAGGTATCTCGATAATCAGAAAAAAATTAACTCAGAAAAACGGAAACAAAATATTCAAAAAAACAAACCAAAAAAATAAATTTACTTCAGAAAAATTTTTTTTTTTTTTTTTTAAACTGGAATGCAATACGCTTCCGTACTTACCAAAGGTTTAATTTAGATTTTTAATATTTGTACTTTGTTCATTATAAATTATCCAATAAAAAGTATTCTGAAACATATGAAAAGTTTGGTCCCCAACTGAAGGACAAGAAAGCAGAGTTTGGGATTAATCATTTAATTATTTTGGCAAAATAATTACACACAATTGTCATTTTTTAAACGATATTCCTATATTTTCTGCATATTCAAAGAGGTAGCCTAATACTCTATAAAAGTTAGTAAAATGTTGTAAATGTTCATTACTGTTTCTATTCAATTTTCCTTTTTGTTTGTTATTGCTGTCATTCGCTTGGTTTTTCTGTTGTAGTGAACTTTCAGTCATCAAGAACTGCAACACATTAAATTCACCAAATAAGCCTCAAAACACACATGATAGTATACTACCACTTCCAGTGAACACTTTCAATGTACAGTGAAGTGATCAGTGACCAGTGGATGACAGTAAACACTCATTATTACTCAGCTGTTTATTGGAATGCATTACACAACACACAACTCCAGTTTGAAAACAAAATGTACATTATGTATAGATCTTAAGTATGAATATGTACCTGTATTTTTCCCACTAAACAATGTGAAGTTATTGTTTGTAAATGTGACAACCACAAAATAATCAAAAAGACCGTTTCAAGATGAATTAATCTGTGACTGTGTGAATTTAATCACTGTATTATGAAAGTACCCAGCAAACATATTCTCATTTCTCATTGTTTCTCATGTTTTTGCAACCTTTAAAGCATGTTTTAAGTGATGTTTCCATTAAGTATAATGGTTAGCTGAGCTGGACACACACAGTTGCTCAAAGCAGCTCAATATTCAACATGACAAACTCTGTCTATTATGTGTGCTTATAGGGATACATCAACCTCATAATGAAGTACAGACCATCACATTTAACTTTTCTACATGCCATGAGCAACAGTGATCAGAGCTGTTGCTGCACTCTGTGTGTATGTGTGTGTGTGTGTTGAGTGTTGAGAAGAGTGTGTGTAGTGTGTGTGGCGTGTGAAGTGTCCACCGACCAGCTTTACTTTGCTTTACTGCACCTCTCTGCATCTCTACACCAAAGCTTTTTACCTGTGCATGGCTTTTCCCTCACAAACCAAAACCAGTCTGTTACAGTTTGTCAGTAATTATATGTATAAATCTTTATCCTGTTATTGTGCCTGATGTGGTTTTGCTCTATTCCTGAGCTGGAAGGATGTATGGTCATCTGTGGGAGTCTGTGGCAGAAAGCAGCACATCGCATTTGAGAGAAGCTGAAACCAAAGAATGTTTTGGCTTGATAAATGAAAATCCATTATTATTAAAACGGTTGCCAATAAATGTTCTGTCTATTGACCAACTGATTTATTTCAAAGTATCACAGAATAATAAATATGTATGTATGTATATATGTATTGGGATCAATTTAAAGCACGTTCTTGTGTGTTTTGATCCTGATGTGTGTATGTGGTTATGTGTTTAATAGATGGATTACTCAATGGGCACAGGTTAGGGGTCCTAAGTTCAGAAGGTCAGAAGTAGGAAGTCCTAATCTTTTTTTTTTTATCCTGCTCTTACAAAGTCCAGTGCATTCATTGTATTTTTGAAAAGTTTATTTTTTCCTGCACAGTGCAGTCAGCCAACAGCCATTTTAAACAGAACTTTAGAGAGTAACCTGTTAAATGTCTCTTGGTCTGTTCCCTCATACTCCGTCCATGTTGTGTTTGACTGATGTATTCTCATTTAGAGCAGAAATAATGACTCAGACACATTACGCCTTGAAAATAAATGAACTATATTCCAATAAGGTCAACTTCACTTGATTAAAGACCTTCATTTTCTTTCGGTAACACATTACACCTCATGCCGTTTTTTTAAAAACAGGTTGCCATTTTTTTCTAAGAATTTTCTTTTCTTCATTTCATAAAAAAACTTAAATATCATCTTCAGTTAATAATGTATTACAGTATTGAATAAATGTATATTTCTATCACAAGATATTGTAGTAACTCAGTCATTATTTCCCTACAAAGGTTCAGGCAGAGAGAGAAATTTTCATCACAGGAAAAAACTTCACAGAGACACATTGAAGAGCAAGACCGGGGAAGGAGTAAATGGGAGGAGGAGAAGAGGAGTAAGAAGAAGGAAGAGAGGAAGAAGAAGGAGAAGAAGAAGAGGGGGAACACTTACACAGACACAGAAATATTGTACACCAACAAACAAAAGGATGACCTGGGATGTTGCTCGTTGCGGAAACAACAGAGCACACTCTCTTTTCACAGCTTCTAAAGGTAACAAAACAAATAAGCAGTAGACACTGAATCCATAAATGCTGTGTGTGTGTGTGTGTGTGTCTGTGTGTGTGTGTTTCTTCAGTATATCTGTACGGAGTCGTGGTTGTGTCTGTGTGTGCCACTTGCTTATTTTATTTCACAAAGAGCTTCTGGTGTTTGGGATTCGAACTGTGGGGAATCAACCCGATAAAATGCGCCGATAGGCGTCCATCACAGTAGACCATGCTGCTAACACATGTACACTGGGACTCATCATGCATCTGCAGAGGAACACGGAGGGGAAGCAAACACAGACACACACTGGGGAGGCGCGGGTGAGGAGGAGAGGCTGGATGGGGAGGCATCACATCTAGCTACAGAACAGCAAAGGCCGAAGCCTGACAGTTAGTACAGAAGTTCATGGAAACATGGAACATTGTCCGAACATTGTAGACAGTTCTGCTTTTGGGTGCTGAGCCACACCTGGGTCACGTCTGCTGGGACAACGCTGGGCACATCATCTGAGCTGATCCATTCTGTACCCGCTGGTGGTGATCATTTCGTACCCAGTCATCGATTACACAAGAGTTCAGCAGTTCTGGGTGTGTGTGTGGGTGTGTGATATGCAATCTTGGTCCCACCTTGTGGTTTAGTGAGTTGACTACAGTGAAACTACTGTTACAACCTCACACACCACTGACCTGCCTCACGGCCACCACTAATATCTACAGAGTCCCTCTTTAGCTCACGACAACCCGAGACTGACAATTACACTGGCAATGTTCCACACTGTTTCTTCATGTAAACATGCTACTTACACTCAAAAACTCCTCCTTCAAGGGAACTGAATGAAGAAATGTACGTTGGCAGAGGGTTACACGAACACTGCAGCAGTAAAAGACCTCTTGTCAAACCTACTAACAAACTAAGATGTGTTTTAATTTTATTCTGTATTGCACATAGAAACCACGCTCCTTGAACTAAACTGCTCGCCTCAAGGTCCTGCGGCACAGCTTATCCATAGATAAATAATCTTCTTGTAAATAAATAAATATCTAAATAAATTATCTTATGAGAAGAAATATACATAAGTAACATAGACACAAACAAGTCAGCAGACAAGGAACTTCAGTAAATTATTTGGGATGTCTGGTTAGGATACACTACATTGTTTGAGTCGTTTAAAGGGGAGCTTCCTCACTGTGGAAATATATCAAAATCTAATCCACTAAATTCAGTAACGATGTAATCTACACTACCAACTGTATATATTAATACTATTCTAAACATTGTGTAGAAGTACAAAAAAATCTAGGCTATATCTGCAAGGAAAAGATACAAAATTGGTTTTAGAAAGTTTACAAAGTATAGTTAGTTAAGGGTAAACTAATCGATTCCTTCTGATATTATCATGTATAATAGCAAATTCCACTTGTATAGCACTTATTATCATTTGTGGGTGAAGTGTTTGTAACACACCTGCAGCACAAAGTACGACGTCCTCACAGAAATATATTTAATGCGACTCATATTAGGCAGTGAATATTGCAGCAATAATAACGTCGACTGCGGTGTCTCAACATGATAAATTCTTCCTCGGGTAGAAAAAGGATGACGGATTCTTTAAGCTTCTACTCTAAGCTAATAGTTAACTTAATTATCATACTATAATGTCGCACACGGCTCTCTGCATTTGTTATGACATTATTTTCAGCACTGACTTTTTAGCTTCATGCATCTCAATGTTGGAAGGAAGAAATGTCTGTGTGTAAATGTCACAGCAAATCAGAGGGTGTCTGCATACAGCTCAGTGTGCGTCACTGGTTTGAAGCTCTCTAGTTGTGCATTCTAGTTGATTTTCACTGTCTGTTTAGCAGCCAGTTGTTTCGTTAGCTTGTGAACATTGTACTGTATGTTCCAACTCTGCCATGCAATACTGAGCAACACATACATGCCTTAAAGGGCAGTGTTTTCTAATGTGTTTTCCTATGCTATGGTACTATGATTACACAAACTGTCTGATTTAGACCTATAATGCTCCTACAGCTTCTCTGTGGTCCTGTCTGCTGTTGACCTACAGACTGTAAACAAAGTCTGGAGAACAGTGGACGATAGACCTTAGTTAGCTCTGTTAAACAATGTGCAGACTTTCCATTAAAATGGGAAGTCATTTTTAGCATATCTGGTACTTCTGTTGTGCTCTAAGCACAGATGAATGGTGGTTTCAGCTGGATCCAGTGTTACATTTGAACTTCAGACAGTTCATAGTTTTCCTTCAGTGACTCGCCTTTCATGTATTGCACACTAATAGTTTGTCAACTAAGGAAAAAATAAAAACACAACACAGTATGTTTTCGTTACACCAAATAAAGTGCAGCCTGGACAGTTTGTACAGCTGAAGCTTGAATACTAGGTTTTTAATCGAGAGTTTTCCTTAAGGCATTGTATGTGTGCTATCTGAAGCATCGGTGTGATGTAGACTAGCAACCTACATACCAATTTATGTGCAGTTTAGGATCATGCATCCTAATCAACATGCTTCAGATTGAATGTTGGTGAGTGGAATCTGTTTTTAATGATTTCACTGTAATTTACTCTGTATTTCACTCTTGAAAGTAAACTAACACTGTTAAGTCTTGTTCGACCATCCATGCATGTTTGTCTGACCATGCTGCTGTCACTAACGGTAATGGATTAGTCTGTTAGGATACATGCCACACTAATGGATTAGTCTGTCACTACCCACAATGAACCAGTGATGACGGACTGCAGTTTAGTGTCTGCACTCAGATCTCAGTCCGTCTGGATGGAGCAACAAGAATCGAACAAAGTTCCCACGTGTGTTTTGAGTGTGAGCACATATTTGGTCCCTCTGAGGAGGAAAATGTTTTTTTTTTGGTTCCTCCCAGATTATCCACTGGACCAAACACCTCTCCTTCTTCCTGTCTGCCTACACACACACAGATTTAAACAGGACGATTTAATATCAAGAACCAGATGAGTTCACTGAGCAGACGCACGAATGCAGGGATTTAATTTACAGGATTTCTCTTTTACATAGTATATATGTGATTTATGTGAAGATGCTCCATATCTGGCTATACATGCAGAAAATAATGCCTCCGTTTGATATACAAACCTTTGTCAGAGGGGCTGTGGTTACCATGGAAACCATCCAATAAAGACACATCTGATTGGAACGTAGGATGCTGGGGAGTTATGGATCTTTAAAAACTTTTTGCCACTTTCATTTCACCAGTGCAGCTTCCATTTGTTTGGCTAGGTAAGACTTTAATCTCTGTTGCCAAAATCATCATTAATTCCACTCTTATTAAACTGTATTATCTAATGTTTGGGATCAGTGACACTCCAGCCTGTGCATGAATTTTAAAACCATTGAAACTTTTCGGGCAGAAGACAGACTGTTTTTGCTGTAATTTGACTTTCTGTACCGAATAGTAGCCACACAATCTGAGGGAATATTTTTTCGCGCCCTCTCTGACTTTTTCAGTTGCAGGCATCACTGTCTTTCTACTGAAAACACTACTGTCTATATACACCGGTTTTTACTATTTACAGCGCGTGTGGAGAACCGCCTTCTATACAGTGTTAGACAAGAATCACCACTTTATGAGAACTTCCTGTAGTAAACAAACGTTAATGTTATTGTTATTGTAAACATTCCACTCATTTTTTCACACAGCGCTCCACCTCGTCAGTGAAGACACATGAAGCTGTACCAGTAAAGTTGGTGATACAGACGAGAGGTGGGAGGGACAAACAAACAAAGACGTTGTTCCTTCAGTGCAACTCACATGAATATATTCTGTCCGGTGTGCACACGTTTCTGTCCCATCCTCGTCGTCTGATCCTACCAGACAGCTTCTCCAACCCAACCTATACCCACCTGACTTTAAAAGAAACCTTCCATGCCCCAGAATGAAGCAGCCCTCCAGCGGCTGACCTGACCCTCTTCTCACCTCTAGAATGACAACTTCACTTCCTTTTTTCTCTCCATCTTCTCTCTGCTTGCTGCAGCAACCTTTTGTATTCACATTTCTCTCCCTTCAAACACTTCCTTTCGCCCTTTATCATGCCTGTAACTGTGTGTGCGTGTTTGTTATGACCTGTTTACACATGCGTACATAAAGTGTGTGTGTGTGTGTGTGTGAACATGTATCTGAAGTATTTCAGTATCCTTGCATCAAAGACCAGGACACCTCCAGGCTGCAGTGAGTCCTATTAAACAGAAGAATCTTATACTTGTTTCATGTCAAACTGTGGACTGTATAGTGTTAAAGTATATGTATGTGTTGCTGTGCAATGTTCTTCCAGAACTTTCTTCATCTCCTTTTTAAAAGCCGGGGATGTGGCAGTAGGCCTCCAGGCTGGAGAAGAGGATGTACAGGAACCACAGACCCAGGAACAGCAGACTGGTCAGGATGCGTGCCACCCTTGGGCCGCCGAGCTCTCCGCCGATGGAGGGTCGGCGTCTGAACAGTAGCACCCCCATGCAGATGAAAGCAAAGATGGTGAAGAGTGTGACGGAGAAGGCCAGCGACCCTGGGTCAACCCTGAACTCCTGTCCTTTGATTCTCCAGTAGATTGCAGCCACTGACCACGCCACGCCGATCCCCAGGAACACGTTAACGGCATTGCTACCGGTGACGTTACCAATGCACGCATCAGCGTGCTGGTCCTGCATGGCGGCCACTTTGCTAGCAAAGGTGTCTGGAATGAGAGAAAGAGGTGGAGAGAGTAAATCATACAACTCAAGCACGCTCAAAGCTCCAGAATAAAGTCTAAAATAAAGACGCTGATACAGATACATTACTCACAGACATGGACAGATGACCCAAACCCTTGTGGACAGAAATGGTTGGATGACTGAATGGGCCTAGTTTGACGTTACTGTCAACAATTTATTTGGGAAAGTCAATCATATGACCACAAAGAGACATAAAACAACTACAAGGAAACACAAAAGTAACACAAACATACACAAAACAACAACAGATACACAAAACTACCACAAGGAGACACAAAACGACTACAAAGGGACACAGTGTCTCTTTCAATCTTGGTGTGCTCCTATAAAGGAGGTGAGTCTGTGCCAGGGCCCGCTGTCGTATAATCAGTCCATGCTTGCACCCACACAGATGCAGAAACTACAACTTGAAAAATAACGACCTTAAGAACTTTTCTCCAGGTAAAAAAAAACTTTTAAGAGGCAGAGAGTAAACTGCTTATACTATAATTGGATGGATGGATGATGATAATGATGTCCAACTTTAGTTGTGACCTGAAGTATGTTTGGAATGACAACTGCAGGACTACACAATAAGAAATATAGTCTCCCTGCATGTAATAGTCTACTGACACCAGTGAAGATAGTGTTACAAAGGGTTTTAAACAGAAGGTAAAAGAGCCCTGGATCAGACAGCATTATAGTGGCCAAATATACAATTAAGTGGTGTTTTTAATCAGTCAACAACAAAACAGTTCCTAAATGTGAAAACATGTTGTCAGTGGAAAAGGAAGAAAACTCAAAAGTCCTGAATGGCCAAATTTCACCCTCTTGGTGATGAAAAGTTTTGAGAAAGTGGTCAAACAAGAGATACAGTGGCACGTGGAAGGCCAGTTTGCTTCCAGGTAGGGGAAGGTTTCGGAGATACCACACTCACAGCCTTACATGTGTTATTCACCAGAGAATCCTCTTTCTCATGTAAATTTAAATTTAAATCTCATTGAATGGAATTTGAATTTCTTGACAAACGGGTCTCAGTGTGCCAGGGTCAATGTCTGCCAGTCGTCTGGGGATATCTAAATGCAAAGTAGTTGCTAGACACGCCCGTTACTTGTGGTGTGATTGAATCCTTTATTAATAGATTGATTGGATTTATGAGGAAATAAGAGGACATACAAGTTTTGCTAATCTCATGTTACCTTCCACACTTCTACACGTCCTGTCACTCACCTGGAATAGAAGTTCCCAATGCCACAAACACCACAGCGGTCACAGTGTCCCGGAGCCCCACGGTGCAGCCGAAGTGTGACGCCAAGTCTCCGATGACGGCGGTGAGGAGGCCGATGACGCTGATGGAGACTAAGAAGCAGGCCCAGCCGTTCCAGTACTCTGTAGGCGGGACGCAGGCAAACAGAACCTTCCAGAAGACGGTGAGGAAATGCATGACGTAGTCGTAACAAGATGGAAGGCGCTCCTCACGGCCTTCCTCATCATCATCGCCGTCGCCTGAGAGGAGAACAAACAGGAGGAACATTAAACAACATCATATAGAAGATTAGAGCCAGAACAGCCTTTTTAAACATGTACAGAAACATCTCTGAACAAGTTCACAGCACACACTGACACAGCGGCTGCAAGACTGACAGGTTTCATGTACATTACATTAAAGCAATACAATGATAATACAATACAAACACCATTTTCAGGGGTTATCTACAGGTTAAATGTACATACTTTTAAGTGTTTTCACAACAAGTGTTTGGACTTGCATGATTGATGCTGTAGTGGAATTATTACAGTCTGTAGTGAACTGTTATTTTCACTAGGTGGTGGACTTGAATCACAAATCCGACACCCACCAACTATTCACCATTAAATCAAAACACTGGTTCAATGTGACGGCCGACTGCGTCTCTGCTCATGTGTTTGAACATTATTCCCTAATGACTGCCAGTGGACCTGTTGCATAATTGATATTTTCCTAATTTTGTGACACAATGAGATGCCATGTTGTTTTTTTAAGGTACATAAGGAGAGCGCTCTGTGAGTCAGTACATATACAGTAGCTCAAAGGCTTTTACATCTGCTGATAATGAGCTTTATTGACTCAATGGACCAAGTTACACCAAGCTCAGGCGGTTTGTTGCCCTTCAGGGAGAAATAATCTGTGATTTTATTTGTTTTTGGACTGTTGTACATTCAGGGGGGAAGGTTTAGTTTCACAGGTTGGGGTCGGGGGCACAGTGTAAATAGATACCTGATACTTTATGGTATAATGTTGTATTTGCATCTTTACTTCAAAAAACACTAGTCTTGTGTTGTTTTGTCTTTGACTGATTCTAGCATCTTTTTATGTGAATATTAACTTCCCTGAATACTAAGTTGGCAGTCCCTTTAATTCACGAACCATTTCCCCACTGCAAATGACACTGTTGAGTTCATTTATTACTTTCATTGGAGACTTGTCTTTGTGGGTTTCCTCCAACAACACTTGAGGTAATCAACTGGAATTTTGTCAGAGAGCTACCGCAGACACAGGGGACGGTATTACAGCCGGTAGCAGTGTCAGCACTGCCAAAGACCCACTGAGCAAGGCACTGAACTCCAAACTTCCCCTTTTTGAAGCTATAAGCAGAGCCTCTTCTGGCATCCCTATAAATACCCTCCTCACACCCCCCCTCTTTTGTCACTCTCGTATCGTACCCCCACAACCCTTTTCTTTCTCTTATTTCTTCCTCTCCTTCCTTCTCTAGGCCGACGGCTGGTTCCAGATACAAGTATTCAAGCCTCGTTCACTGTCTTAATAAATTATTTAAACACATCTTAATGGTGTGGTCCTTGCAAGTGAAACTACAGACGACTGAGGCTTCTCAGAGGATAAGAGCGTCGGAGAAGAGGAAGCCCAGAGAGTTATTGTAAACTGCTTTTTATTTTAATAAACTCCATGTTCTCATCTTAAAAAAACAATTTTCCTCCACTTGTTTAAAATGATCAGGCTGGCAAGCATTTAGTATTTTAATTGGCCGAGCTGACTTTCTGTGTGTGCTATAGAGACCTCGTTCAATACTGGTCTAGACATCAGGTGGGCAGTAGTAAGGAATGCTAAACAGCTTCCATATATAGTATATCCTGCAATAACATCAAACCCTGTAAGTTACTTGTATGTGACAGAGGGGTTTAAGAAACGCAGCCTTAGTCAATCTGCTCTGTATCAGTTTTCAGTCACGTCAGTGTGAAATGAAGGTCCGGTGAATTGTATGTTGTAAGAGTTAGACATATAAAAAACTTTGAGGTACAAGAAGAGACATGTCTCTATATATGAAAATATAGTAAAACTCATAATCAGACAGAAAGACAGACCAATTGTACTGATGTGGTAGAAATTTTAAAGTTCAGTCTTTTGTTTACCAACTGATTTTATTCATTGTCAGTCAAGATAACAAGGTCAGGACTCTAATTATAACACGACAGCTATTATTTAAATTTTGATATTTTGAAAAAAAACAGGCGCTACATCTGGCTTTTTATAAAATAATTTATTAATAAATAAATAAATAAAACAAATTGATTATTTAAAAGAATGTTAGGACACTTGAAGTGCTGGTTTACATGATGGAGGATGAAACTGAAATTAATACACTTATAACTAAAATATAAACCTCAAGTAATAAATCTGTACAAACCAGTGAAACGTTAATCACACCTAAAGAAGTTGTTAAAGGGATAGTTTATATTTTTTAATGGGGTTGTATGAGGCACTTATCCATAGTCAGCGTATTCTCTACCCACTTAAAAAAACCCTGAACTATCCCTTTAAGAGTCTGTCGCTAAAAGGTCTCCATGTGACGGCTTTTTGTTCACTGCAGTAATATGTCTACTCTCTCTCACACACACACACAGAGCTCACCTGCACTGACAGTGACCGCCTCCACAAACTGTTCCCTCCAGGAGTGCGTGCCGATCACCAGCGCCAAATTGGTCTTCTTAATGAGCTTGTCAACGGTGCTCTGCCAATCAGAAGCACAACATTAGCAAACACTTACAGCTGGGGACAGGTGACAGAGGCACTCAGGTGTGACTGGGCTTGTTAGCTGTGCTGGTCGGGCCGCAGAGTGGGCTGTGACTGTCCATCACACAACATATCTGAAACAACATTAGTTTAAACTTCAAACATATCAAATTATAATTGGAGAATCAGTTAGAAATCACTTTTCAATCTGTAAAATAAAGTTTTATTAATAGTAGGACAGTTTTTACATGTCTTATCTGCATTTTTGTTATTGTTTTTATCTTATGTTACTGCTTTATTACTGATTTTTTTTGCCTTATTGCAGTCAATAAATGTTCTTCTGGAGGGAGATTTCTCAACTCCTTGAGAAAACCCACTTTGGCTTAGAGAACTGAAATCTTTAGTTGAGATCTTTAGTTTTTTTTTTTTTTTAGATATCTCGGCCTCTGCTGCTTCGATTTTGACCTTTTTGGGAAAACACGCTTACTCACTTTTCTGGCGGAGAATAAGAAGATGATCAACACTACTCTCATATCTGTGTGTTAAAAATGAAACTACAGTTAACTTAGCTTAGCATAAAGACTGGAAAGAGGGGAAAACAAAATCCACCTACCAGCTCTAAAGCTCACTAATTATTCACTAAGTTATATCACATTTGTTCAATCTGTTCAGACGGTTGTGTGTCGGACTATTTGTTATCAACACATTATGAACAAGGGGTTTTCAACCTGGGGGCCAGGGACTTTTTATAGCTTCGAATACTTAAGTTACCTGAACTCATCAGAAAAATGAACATCCTATTAAATACAGTCCGCGGTCTGATGTAACCAAAAAAGTTAAGAACCTCTATTGTGAGTTGAGGGAACAGGAGATTACAGGCAGCCAACAACATCACAAGAGATTCAAAAGAAGAATAAACTCACAGTGTAAGTTAAACCAAAGCACAAGCACAGATATTTTCTTCCATGTGTTCCACCTGCTCTCTCCAGCCGTATTGATTTTTTGTTTTATTTGCAGAGGATTTGAGTTTCCCATCCGCTGAGACGCCTGCCACCATTTCAGTGCAACACCCTCCATTTATACTGCAGTGGTGTTTTTGTAAACAGGGCCAACTAAACCTTTAAATATCTTCAAAGTACAGACAGCAGTGTCCATACGTCAATGATAAAAACATCTGCATATATTGATTTATAGATATTGATTTTTGCTTTGCTGTGTTTTTACATTTCGGGGAAATATACCTCAGAAAGTTTAACTACAAATCCAAAAATGAGCCAAAACAAACCCACACACACACACACACACACACACACACACACTCCAGCTATGTCAGTCAGAAACAGGCCCGTCATTGCTCTCCTATTCATTTATTTGTGCTCACAGCAAGCAGAGCGTCTCAGTCCACTCACATTGATCTCCTGTGTACTGCATCTAAATGCCAATCATACTGAATTGCATTATTCCCTGAGCTGGTTCTCACTAACCACAAATCACAACAGACAAGGCCAATTATATGTGCACACGGGGTCAATTGACTTTGTAATCAAATGCAGGATGAGAATATTGAATTTTAGTGGACTGTGTTTTGAGTGACGACGGGACGACCGGCTCTCATTTATCTGTTCTGTTGATGTTTGTTTAATAATCCACCATTTTAACAATCCACGAATCTGTTTTTAATTGGCTGATAGTGAAGAAGTGTTTTATTCCTTTGTTTCCATCTTTTTATTCTCAAATATTTTGTGATAATTCATTATTTTGTGTGTGTGTGTGTGTGTATGTGTGTGTGTGTGTGTGTGTGTACATTTCTCAGGAATGTATATAAACCCTCTTGTGCCCTTTTTTTTATTTAACTTTTATGCCTTTATTTGATAGGACAGCTGGAGACAGACAGGACTCACGCAGTGCGTCATTAAATGAAGTTTCTAAAAGAACATGATCAGCATATTAACAGAGCTCCCAGCATGCATTGTTTGAGAGTTAAAACTCTCCTGAGAAGTTTCTTTTATATAGTTTAAAGAAAACATATATGATAAAAAACCTTCTGTGTGTCTTTACATTTTACATTTTAAGTTAAGTCATGGCTGTGAAACACGATGAAGGTCAGTGTTGAATTCAGTCTCTAACTTACACTCACAGTTCCACATACTGTCTTTGTGCCAGTGCTGTAGTTTTAAAAGGAGCAGCAGCTGTAACTACTGTGTATGAAATGGAGAACTGAATCTTCAAACTGAGAAAAATATAGAAGGAAATCAAAGTTGTTTGTAAAGTTCATCAGTGTGATCGAACAGTTGTTGGTCCAACTATTAAGCTTAGTGAACATGTTTTCTCAAGTTCAGTTAACTTAAGTCAAAGAAGACCAAACAAATGAATAATGAATGATAAACAAATGTTTCGACCTCAGCTGCTTCTTCAGTCTTTCATTCATCCATTCATCTTCTAAGGCAGCAAATTAACTTAAATTCTTAAGTTGAACCAGCTTAACGTTATTTACAGTGCAGCATTCACTGGTTATTGTGACAAAAGAGAAACAAAACACTGATGTTATTTACTGTATGTTTGAGTGAGTTTCATGATTTCTGGGCTTTTGAAACTTGTGAAACACCCACAGCTTCAATTACATACATTAATGCCTATGAAATGAGTTACAGTGCTTGTTGATGTTTAAATAATTTACGCTGTGTATTTCACTCAGACTCTGAGGCATAAAATACTCTCACTACCTCTGGTAAAACTGCATATTATGTAGTTCACCAAAAGTCAACTACACATGAGAGAACTGAAACGTTACTTTAATTAAGAATAAGAGCAATTAAGAGCAATTAAAACAGATGGATTAGCAATGTAACATCCTTCTGTGTTTGAATCGTTTGTGAATTGAGACTTGCCAGTAAACTAAACCCATTTAATTACTTAGAGTGGCAGGCTGTGGGTATTGGCCAATGTGGTGGCGGCTGCTTTTATTTGCTTAAAATCCACCTGAACCCAATTCAAATATTTGGATTGCTCACAGTCCACTTCCTCTGATGTAGCTCCTCGTGCACAGGGGAATGCAGCGGAAGCCTGAAAGGCATTTGTAGCGGTGCTCTGTGTATGCCATGAGAGTTTGAATTCTGCATGCCTCGAGCTAGCTGCGGTATCAAGGGCAACTTGTGCATTTTCAATAATTCAAACCTATATTAGACCTGCCCGCTGAAAGCTTTAGGCCCCGGGTTCACTGGTGTGAGAGAGAGTGTAAAGGTGGATTATATAACATGCCCAGAAAAAAACAGTTACACAGTCCACAGTGCAGGACAACAGGTGTCAACATTCCTGCTCTGCTTTTTTAGCTTTTGGAGAGAAATACTTAAATATTACTTGGACAGCCTTTGAATTACATACTGTACATATGAAGTCTTCCATTTTGGGTGTTTAGAAATCTTTGCTATTAAACTACTGCTTTATAAATGTAACATTCTTTGCCAGTTCTTATCTTTTTATTATTTTTAATTAGATTTAAATCAGATCTGAGTAATAAACTTTAAAGCTGCTATGGGCTACCATCAATAAATCATCAACACATTTATTGGCAGCTACTGCCAACCTGCACGTCACACTGGGAGCAGCTGCAAATGTCTTTTTACAGCAGGAAACACAAAGAAAGTGTTGTTCTTCCAGAGGAAATTTCGTGAGGAAAATAAAAGAATAAATGGTGCACCTTGAACTCATAGGACTCCTCGATGACCACCTCCAGGCGGCTGTGCTCTCCCAGGATGGGCTTCCCCATCTCAGCTATCCTCCGGGCCTCCTCCTCCTCAGAGCTCATCTGCCCCTCTGCCCCCTCTGTGGGAAGAAGGGAGGGAGAGCAGGGAGAGGTGATGTGAAGGAAACAATAAGGACACAAACAGTAAGTGCAGACTGAATGTCGCAGATATTTCTACCTCCATCAATAATAGATTGTGAGTCAGCGTTTTATTTAGAGCTGCAATACATCACTTGTGCGCATCAACACATGAGTTGATGTGTGCATGTTCTCACACAGCGGGGGAGAGGGACATGAGAAGATGACAGATGGACGATATGTGTGTGTGTGTGTGTGT